CTCCGTTTGTTTGGGAATATCATTGCTATGGTGAAAAATAATCTCGATGGAAGAGGGATGCAAAATAGAGGTTAAGGAAATTGCAAAATGAGGAAGGACGTGAAACATAGCGAAATTATTGTACAGTTCAGGATAGACTTCGTTCTTTCATTTTTCTTAGATTCACTGATGAAACAGCAGAACAAGTCGTGGTATAACTGGTTCGCTGGTAGATAACAACACACTGGCTCACTTTTGAGCTCGCTCGCTGGATTTTGATAGAACGCGCTGGTTCATATAATATAGATTTAGCCAGGGCTAAAAGCGAGGCTCCCATTAATAAATTTATAATTTAAATCAAACAATAAACTTGTATTCCACAATTCAGTTAACTTTAGAGCACATTCGTGTGACTTTTCATGGAAAGGCTAAGTGATTTTACAAAAAATAATTTGCAAGCAGCCCAAGAGTGAACCAAATCTCATATCGAGTTGATAGCCTCATAAGTACACCCAAAAACTGGCATCATCTTCGATCACAATTATTAAGAGCCATAATGGCTCATGATCGCCTTAGATTAATTAGGCCTGGAAAAAAAATTCTGGCCGAATTTTTTGCGTTCGACAAGTTTACTTTACAAAATCTTGCCAACAAATCTGGGTGCGACTGTAAACCAACCTTTTATATCATTTATACATCACATCTGAGGTGAAACAGTACTATGAGGCACTGTTTTTATCATACAGACCTCGCACAACAGAATGCAGTATTTCACAATATTGCGATACAAATTGCTATCATTCAATATTCAGGACGATCGCAGCACGCGTGGGCTTTAGCTAAACCGTTAAAAAAAATTTTCAAAATCATCTATACGGCCAGCCGGTTCTGACTTTTGCAGTGCTAGCAGTGGCGAGTGTTTGAATGAACATTAACAGAGTTACGCTCCAACATAATAAAGAATTTATTATGTTTATTTTTTATTTTAAAACGGTTTAACGCGCGGCATTTTGAGTACTCCGGGAAGCGTTGTTCACTGAACGACTGAAAACAATCGACACAGCGATTAAAATTACAAGAGACAGTACTAACAATTAATAAAAGAAATATAATTCGGAGAAACATATACAGAGACGACAATTTTCATTCAGGAAGACAAGTATTAAAGTGTCTCTAAAAATCCTGAGTCTTCGAGCTTAAAGCTGAATTTTGTGTTTTAAGCCGGCTTCCCGGTGTTTGCTTTTTTCAAAGACGAACTCGAGGCAAGGAAATCGCTCAAACCTTTCTTTTACAGTCAGAATTATAACTAAATATTCCTTGAAACGTTTTCTTTCTATTTGCGGTGAGAAAATGTCTAAAGGCTTTTTAAAGATCTGTAAGCTTATAACAAACCTGATACGCGGTCAGATCATTGTCTCAAATCTTACAAACGTGCGTAAACAAAATAGCCGCATAAACTACGCTCGACTTCATTAAATTAGGAATAAAAAACAAACATCAAATACAATAATTACTTAGGCTTACCACTCGAGATGCAGCTCCTGAAAGGTATCAAGGAAGGCCAGTATCGCTTCAGACTTTGCAACCCTCTTACGCATTAAGCAAGGTGAAAACGAAAACGATGCCATCCGAAATCGGATTTCCGACTTTGACTCAACCAAAAACCCAATAAACAAACTAGCCATGAATAACAGAAGACTCCTGATAGAATCTGAATTTCATTTTGTACATCCAGTGGAAAAAGAAAGTTAAAAACATCACAAGTTGACACAAAACTCTGTCAGCTTCAGCTGTCAAAGTAAACAAGATTCAAGATGCTGCATAAATTTTGCGCATGAACTCACCTGTCAAATTTTGACCAATCAGAGCATAAAAATTGGACGTAGAGCGTGACCAACGCGTGAACATGGCGAGAAAAGTCAAAAGCAACTGTCTTCCCTGCCTGTAGCAGCTGGCTGAATTTTCGCGTCCGAGGTCAGTTTGAAATCAAAATTTTAATTGTGCGGCACATAAACACAACATATTTCATATGAATTTAAAAAAAAAATTAAACTTGAGCCTGCAATCATTTGAAAACAAGTACCTTGTCAGCGGATAACTTCAAAAAAATACTCGACCTCGATGGGTCGACACCTGAGCCCGCGATTCGCTCAAGTGATACTGGTCAGCGGATACCTTGTTTTGACAGCTGTCAATTGATCACATTTCCTGTGCTCCGATCCCAAACTAGCTAAATATTAATAATAATATCCATGCTAAAAAGTATGAGATTGAATATTGTTTGCGATCTAGTAAAACGATTAACTGGTCAGCGGACAGCTTCCAAATAAATTACGTCACCTCGATGAGTTGACAAATGAGCCCGCGTTATGGTCATGGGATACTGGTCAGTGGCTATCCTGTTTTGACAGCTGTCAATTGACTATATTGTGAATGTCATATAAAAAAGATGAGGACTTGCCAACACACGCCTGAGACACCCCTCCCTTCCTTTTGATAGTCTCCCCTACCCTACCCGTACAATCTGTAGACGCGTACGTACGTACGTACGTACGTACGCTCGGTCAGTCACGTGACAACCAAGCGAAAAGAGGTTGACCATATTCCATGAGTATGGGGCTCTGTCCCACGCGCGCTTCGCGCGCGCGGGAGCCCCGCTATAAACTTCAAAGTAGGGTTCGTACTCTTTTGAGTTCTTCAAATTCCATGAATTTTTCCTTGATCTTTTCTAGTTTTCCATGACCTTAGGTTTAGCTGTCATTGTCGAAAATTTTCGAAACCGTTCCTTGTTTTAACATATTTTTTTACCGCTTTAAAAGTTCAACAGAAACAAACTCTGGTATCCTCCAAAATGCTTGCCATTCGTGCTGTCTAATTACTCCTCTTTATCGTACGTTATCATTGCTTTTTGATTTGTAATCTGCAGTAACTAATCCACCAAACAAAACTTTAATTTTCCATGACTTTGAAGGACCGGCAATTAAATTCTATGACCTTCCTGCCATGAAAACGAAATTCTTAAATTCCATGAATTTCCGAGTTTTCCATGACCTGTAAGAGCCCTGCAAAGAACACTCTACTAAACGGCATATGACACATAACTGATGGAATGGAGTGACAAAACATGTACATGGAACGATAAAATAAAATCCAGTCAATTCTCTTATAAGACGGACACCTCGCGTTCGTTCCCTTCGTTTTCAGTCATATTTACATCTGTAAATAATAGACGAACAACCGACACTTGAGCAGCGCTTTTTTTAGGGAAAATACTTCAAGACAGAAATGTAGGAGCTGACCATGACAGCAATTTACGATTTTGGAAACTAAAAATTATTTTCACATAAGCAAATACATGACTTCTAACTTGTTCTGCTCACTTTTCAGAAGCAGTAACCTATTGATTCTAATGAACAAATGAGTCTACGTTTCTAATATTATTCTTTTATTTTTATTTTTGTTCTATAATGCAGGTCCGCTAACAACGCTCTCGCGAAACTAAAAACAACATCAACAATAACAACAAAACTAACGTTATTCAGCGAGGGTGACACTTCACAATTTCAAGAGCTGATAAACCAGTGGCCCTCTGAGTCGTGTTGAAAATTTTCACCCCCCTTATTATCATTTCCGACCCGAAATGTTGCGTAACGGAAAGCAGGAGGTACTGGAACATCATCATCATCATGTCATATTCAGATCCTATGAAACCTAGGAAAAACCCCCGTTTTTACTTGTTCATCACTCCATGTTTTATCACTCCAGCCCATGTTTTATCATTTGCCCTACTAAACTGTACACAGTTTATAGCACACCAGCATATAAAACTCCTGTTACTCACCTTAAATGTGTAGGAACGTCGGGCAAGTCAACAACGGCCATAACAAACGAAAAAACAGCTCTGCTACTACCACGCTCTTGTTAACTTACCTTCAAAAACTCATTAATAAATAAGCCCATTGACCTATCAAGTGGTCGATAATACATCACGTGCAGTGACATTATATCTGATAAAACCTCCTCTTATTAGTATGCGGTGTTTTGAAGCGCTTTTAGTTCCGATTGGTTCCGTTGGATCACCTGCGCTCGTTAAGTATTGGAAGAAAAGAGTTCTAGGTTCCTTGCGGTTAAAAACAGCAACGTTCTAGAAGTAATTTGCTACTCAGAAATTGCAATTAAGGTATCATTCATGGTAAAAATCATCATTTAAAGCTGAAACGGTCCTCCGCCTGGCCTTGCCTCTTTGTTTGATGCCACAACAGCTGCAACATGGGTGGCTGTGTTAAATATGTGGACGGCAAAGCACCACACTTCAATTCTAGGCCATTTGACATTATTTTGTCATTTGTCAAATGCATATTTTGAAGCTGTTTTATTCCAACCAAAAAGACCAAAGGCAACAAGTGAGTAACAACCTACAAAACTGGACCACCTAAGCGGAGTAAGAAGCCTTCATTCAAATTATGAGGTAATCAATGACTGCACTTTAACAGACTAGTTGTTTAATTTAGAGTACTGTGAAACCTAATAGACGAACGAATGGCTCGGTTTGTTATAAAAGTTTCTTCCCTTATTACGTGTAAAACAACCCTGTATTTAGTAAACACTGTTAATCCAATTCCTGGCCAGTGAAGGTCCCGCGGGCATCCCCTACAGGTTTACGTACGCATTCTTGTACTATTCAGGATAAAAAAAAAATGTTTAATCAGATGTCGAGGAAACCACCGATGTATTCGATGTCGACGCCGACGTGTAACTCCTGCGTAGTGTGTATTTGGGGAACAAATAAATCTCAAAATTAACAAGTTCGTAAAACGCTAAAACCCTTTTGAGAGACTGCTATGAGCTATGAAGTATCAAAAGGGTGCACTTTATGGTTCCTGTCTATTTTTCAAAACTAGTCGCTATTTTTCACGTCAGTTTTTCCACCGAAACACTTTGCCAAGCAAAGAAGAACGCTCCAACGGCAGTTTGATTCGCACAGCACGAAATTCGTTCAAGCTACTTATCGTATCTTCGTGATGATCGCCTAGCATTCTTGATCTCATGTTTGCTGCTTTTTCTAACGATTGCGAAGCTCCTTTCAGGTCCCCCATTTCGTGCTGCATTACACCAAGCTCGTGGTAGTTGCGTGCCGTGTCTTCGTGATCTCCGAGCAGTTTTGACCTCATGTTTGCTGCTTTTTCTAAGGAATCCAAAGACTCTTTAAGGTCTCCCATTTCACGTCGCACTCTACTTAGGTCGCAGTAGGTGCGTACCGTATTTTCGTGATCACCAAGCAAATTTGATGTCATTTTTTGTGCTATTTGTAAAGAATATAGAGCTCCCTTTAGGTTCCCCATTTCATGCTGCACTCTACCAAGCTCGTGGTAGCTGCGAGCCGTGTCTTCGTGATCACCAAGCAGCTTTGACCTCACGTTTGCTGCTCTTTCTAGAGAACCCAAAGCTCCTTTGAGGTCTCCCATTTCACGTTGCATTGTACCAAGCTCGTAGTAGCTGCGTGCCGTGATCTCGTGATCACAAAGCAAATTTAATGACATGTTCTGTGCTATTTTCAAAGACTTCAAAGTCCCTTTGAGATCTCCCATTTCACGCCGCTTTACGCCAAAAGAGAGGTAGGCAGCTGCCATGTACTCGTTGTAACCAAGCAAGTCAAAAGTCGTTTCCGTTGATTTTTCCAACGACTCCAAAGCTTCCTTAAGATCTTCCATGTCCAGCTGCACTAAACTTATGCTTTTGCTAGACGTCATGTCTTCATTGTCGCCAAGCAGATTTGATTTCATGGCCGCTGCTCTTTGTAAAGAATTCAAGGCTCCCTTCAGGTCTCCCATGCCATACTGCACTAAACCAAGCATGTGGTAGCTGCGTGCAGTGTCTCCGTCATCACCAAGCAGATTTGATTTTATCAATGTTGCTCTTTGTAAAGAATCCAAAGCTCCTTTAAGGTCTCCCAAGTCACGCTGCGTTAGACCGATTACGTGGTAGCTGCGTGCCATGTCTTCGTCATCATGATCACCAAGCAGTTTTGATTTCATCTGTGTTGCTCTTTGTAAAGATTCTAATGCTCCTTTAAGGTCTCCTACGTCACGCTGCACTACACCAAGCACGTGGTAGCTACGTGCAGTGTCTTCGTGATCACGTAGCAGGTTTGATCTCATTTGTGTTGCTTTTTGTAAAGAGTCTAAAGCTCTTTTGCGGTCCCTAATCTCATTCTGCGCAACTCCAAGGTCGTGGTAGCTCTGAGCCGTGTTTGTGTGTTCTCCTAGAAAATCTAAATTCAAATCTGCTGCTTTCTGGAGTGCCTCAACAGCTGACTTATTATCTCCCATAGCAAGATGGATAACGCCTAGCTTATGAAAGCTGTCGGCTGTATCAGTATGACCTCCTAAAAGTTCCTTTCTTAATCTTAAGCTCAGCTGTACAGACTCTAAAGCTCCTTTCAGATCTTCCGCCTCACATTGTACTTCACCAAGCTCGAAGTAGCTACGTGCCGTGTCTTCGTGATCACCAAGAAGATCTGATCTCATGAGTGCTGCTCTCTGTAAAGATTCTAATGCTCCTTTCAGGTTTCCCATGTGACGCTGCACTATACCAAGCATGTGGTAGCTACGAGCTGTGTCTTCGTGATCCCCGAGCAAATTTGATGTCGTGTCTGCTGCTACTTGTAAAGAGGTCAGAGCTCCTTCGCGGTTTTCCATCTTATTCTGCGCAATACCAAGGTTATGGTAGCACTGTGCCGTGCATAAGGGATCTCTAACCAAAATTAAATTCATATCTGCTGCTTTCTGGAATGCATCTTCAGCTGACTTATTATCTCCGATAGTAAGATGGATAACGCCTTGCTCATGAAAGGTGTCAGCCGTATCAATATGATCTCCTAAAAGGTCCTTCCTCATTCGTAAGCTCAGCTTTACAGACTCCAAGGCTCCTTTCAGGTCTCCCGCTTTACACTGCACTCTGCAAAGCTCAAAGTAGCTGCGTGCTGTGTCTTCATGATCACCATGCAGATTTGATCTCATGTGTGCTGCTCTTTGTAGAGAGCACAATGCTCCTTCGAGGTTCTCCATGTCACCCTGCACTAGACCAAGCCAGTGGTAACTACATGCGACGTCTTCGTGATCACGAAGCAAATTTGATCTTATTTGAGCTGCTCTTTGCAAAGAGTCTAATGCTCCTTTGAGGTTTCCCACGCAACGTTGCACTAAACCGAGGCTGTGGTAGCTACGTGCTGTGTCTTCGTGATCACCAAGCAGATCGGATATCATGTGTGCTGCCCTTTGTAAAGAGTCTAAAGTTCTTTCTTGGCCATCTTTCCTGTTCTGAGTAGAACGTAGGCCGTGGTAGCTATGTGCCGTGCTTATATGATCTATCTGCAAATTGAAATTAATATCTACTGCTTTCTGGAATGCCCTGACAGCTGAATTATTATCACCTATTGCAGAATGAATAACGCCTTGTTCATAAAAAGCGTCGGCTGTATCCATATGATCTCCCAAAATTTCCTTCCTCAATCGTAAGGCCACCTGTACGGACTCCAGAGCTCCCTGTAGGTCTCCTAGGTTACGCTGCACAACGCCAAGCTCGAAGTAGCTGCGTGCCGTGTCTTCATGATCACCAAGCAGATTTGATCTCATATGTGCTGCTCGTTGTAGAGACGTAAAGGCTTTTTGATGATCCCTCATCTTAGACTGCGCCATACCAAGGTTGTGGTAGCTATGTGCCGTGTTAATGTGTTCCCCAAGCAAATTTGTATTTAGATCTACTGCCCTCTGGAATGCTTCAGCGGCTGATTTACACTTCCCCATAACATGATAGATAACGCCTTGCTCATTAAAGCCGAACGCTGTATTGGGATGATCTCCTAAAAGGTTCTTGCTCATTCGTAAGGACATCTGTACAGACTCCATTGCTCCTTTCAAATCCCCCACTTCCCGTTGCAGTTTGCCAAGCACAATGTAGCTGAGTGCCGTGTCCTCGTGATCACCAAGCAGGTGTGATCTCACGTCTGCTGCACTTTGCAGAGACTGTAAAGCTCCTTCACGGTCCTGAATCTTTAACTGCGCTATACCAAGGTTGTAGTAGCTATGCGCTGTGCTTATGTGATCTCCTCGCAAATTAAAATTCATGTCTGCCGCCTTCTGGAATGTCTCAACTGCTGACTTACTGTCACCCATAAGATATGAAATGACGCCTTTCTCATGAAAGCTGTCGGCTGTATCGGGATGATCTCCTAAAAGTTCCTCTCTCAGTCGTAAGCCCACCTGTACAGACTCTAATGCTGCTTTCAGGTCTCCCTCTTGACGCTGTACTATACTAAGCTCGTGGTAAATGCGTGCCGTCTCTTCGTCATCACCAAGCAGTTTTGATCTCAAGGTTGCTGCTCTTTGCAAAGTCTCCAAAGCTCCTTGTTGGTCTTCCGTGTCACGCTGCCCTGTACCAAGTTCGTGGTAATTGCGTATTGTGTCTGCGTAATCACGAGGTAGATTTGATCTCGTACCAGCTGCTCTTTGTAACGACTTTAAAGCTCCTTGGTGGTTCATTGTCATAGAGCCCGACGTTAGTACGTTGTAATAGCTAGGTGCTGTGTTACTTTCAAGCACATTCGCATTTTCATCCCGCATAACATCAACGCCTTGCTCGGAATTTTCCAAAAGTTCTTTGCCTACCTTTACAGACTCTATTGCTCCTTTCTCGTCTCCCGCTTCACGCTGCACTCTACTAAGCCAGAAAAAGCTTTTCACTGTCTCTCTGCGGAGTCGTGAGGGTGAACATTCTTTGGCAGAGTGCAACATTTGTTCGTCGCCCAAGTTTCCCCTTCTCTTTGCCTCTACAATCGCCGTGTCATAAAGGTTCTCAAATAACTGATCACCATGCAGTGCAACTTGAAGAAATGACTTTGCTTGAGACAACAGCTCTACAGCCCTGGAGTAGATCCTGTCTTTTCGAGGACCATTTGCAAGCGATGAAATGATACAGCCCCGCCGATGAAGGAAACTTCTGAATGCGTCGCCTAATCGTCCTTTCTCAAAGTCTTCATTGGCAACTTTACAACTAGAAATGTAATAGTCGTAAAACTGAAGCTGTGCATTCAGATATATAGCTTCAACTGCTTGGTCATTTTTTACTTCTTCCTCGATAAAGGATCGTAATAGTGAATGTACGGTAAAATGGCTGAAATTTTCTCCACAGTCTATTAGGGACTTTCGCTCCAATGATCGAATTATTTGTCTGGTCTTAATTTCTGTTTCTACATTCAATATGGCTTGAGCTTCCTCTATTCCAAACCATTCAGGAAAAACAGAAAGCGAAACAAATGCATCTCTTTCGCGATCCATGAGCCTTTTAAATGATGTGTTTATCACAGATTTCAGTCGAGCATCATCAGGAAAGTATTCACTGTCCAAAACTTCAACCAGAGTTGAAACGTTTAGTTCTTGTAAAAGCGCATTTACGGAGATATTTGCTTGTTTAATGATGCTGCACATTAGCCGCATGGACATAGGAACTTTCTCACATTCCTTAACAATGCAACTGCAGTCACATTCCGATGCATCTGGTAGCAGTTGCCTTACTAGATTTGCAGACGAAATTCCATCCAATACATTAATTTTCTCAAGATAGATGGAAAGCTTGTGGCTGAAGTAATCCAGACTTTCGCGAGTAGTTAGCAGAAGCTTTATTTGTTTGCAATGATTGAGGATCTCCTCAATAAAGCGAACCACGTGTTCTTTTCGTTTGGTATCCCCAGATTCAAGTAAGTCATCTGCATTGTCTAATATTAAGACAAAAGGGTTTTGAACTTGTTGTAAACATTGAATAATTAAGTGAGACGATGAAATATGGCCGACCTGTTTAGCGTCTACGAACATACTCAGCAGCTTTGACACCAAATCGTCCTTACTTTCCATTCCACGAAGGGAAGCAAAGTAAACTGGAATATTCTTCTGTCGTAGGTGATGCGCCATCCTGATAGCCACTGATGTTTTTCCAAATCCAGGTGGACCCCATACATTAACCAGTCGAGTAACTGAATCTGTCAAATGATGTTCTATTCCTTTACATTCTTCCTCGCGGCCAACAAAGTTAGGTATTTCATCGGGTATGGATGATTTGGACGTAATTACACCTTAAAGAGATAATGAAGGACAAAAACATTACAGGATAAGAACAGCCTTTTATATGTGTAATTAAGGAAGATTGCCTTTCATTTAATATACTATTTTAGCTTGTACATTTGTTTTACCACTGTGGCTGATGATGTCCTCACGGGAATTTGCCCCCGTCTTTTATTAAGCTACTCTTTAAAACGCACGTAAGAAAGACGAAAATGAAACAAAAAGTCCCTAAAGCAACATCACGTGATCTTCTTGGGAGAGTTTCACATATATTTAGCCACAGAGGTATTTACAGAAAATCTTTAGGCCATTTTGACTACCATATTTTCATTTGACCACAATTGCCAGAATTCCTTTCGACTTCACTTTCTTTTTGAAATTTGTCGGTCCCACCGAGGTTTGGAAAAAAGCCGTAATTTGCACAAGAAAAAAATAAACTGATAGATTCCTGATTTAATAATTACTCACTGGCTTAAATGAGTTAATAATGCTACAAGGCAGTCAAAAGACGACGCTCAAGCAACAATTCTCAAAGTATATAAACTTAAATGGACGTACCGTCGATTGTATCTACCCGTGAACGCACGCGCGTAAAACATGTTTTCACGTGACGTCAAACGTCTGAGTTTTAGGTGTCAAACTTTGAAGTTTTCCCGCCCAAATGTGAAGTTATCCTTTTGGGCACTGCTCAAAGGGAAGATGTTTTCAGTCAACAAGAAAGGAAGAAATTATCAAAAAGGTTTCCCACTTTCAAGCGATTTGCGGAATCTAGTAAAAGAACTTGCGCAGGATTATTGTTTTTCAGAAGTTTGGAGAAGATTACGCATCAGCAAGGGTGCAGTTTCAAAAATCGTTAAGCAGTACAACTTGACTGGAAGCACGGCTCCCAAAAAGTTGAATCACGTTCGAACAGTTCCTAAGTGTACTGTCCAAGACTCTATTCTGTTGGAGACCATGGTGCAAGCAAGAGGTTCGTCCTCTCTTAAAGAACTGCGCGATTATTTGGCCATTCACGGTGACTGCGGAGAACTGTCAACATCAACAATTTCCAGAAATATTAGGAACAAACTTCCAAGTGGCCGCAACTATTCCCGAAAAAGATTGGGGAAATGTGCGTCCGAGCGTTTTACTCCCGAAAATATAGTGTACACTCAGTTGTACATTGACTATTTAAAAGACAAAGATCCTTCCTCTGTTAAGTTTTTCGATGAGTCAGGTTTTCAACTGCCCGATGCCGGTCACAGAAACTTTGGTTTCTCACCTGTCGGTGAAGATTGCGTAGAAGCGCGAAGATACTTGTCTACCGCAAACCTCACCCTGAACTTTCTAACTGGGTATGATGGAGTAAAATATGGAAACATCATAGAAGGAGCGTCGAACTCTGTACAGTTTTTACGATTCTTTAATGAGGCTTCCCAAATAGTTGATGCAATAACGCAAAGACCAATTCTCGAAGTTGGCGACATTGTTGTGGTGGACAATCTAGCCGCGAATCATGGCGAAGCGGAAAGAGCTCTGCGAAGCTTCCTAAATGATTTGGGAATGGAGCTCATTTCCTCCCAGTGTATTCACCAGATCTGAATCCTGTTGAGGAGGTATTTTCGAAGCTGAAATATTTGTTGAAGTACAGATACCAGGAACTAGTGTAAGTGGAATAACCTGGAATACGCAGTGTTGAGAGCGATCGGGGATGTAACAGCGGCCGACATGTACGGCTACTACAAGCATGTAGGATATTTTTCTTGAGAGACGGAACTGTAATTTCGAACAAATACAGTAATATTATTATTGCCATGGACGAGTGAGAAATAGAGTAAAGTATTGTAGTCATCTGACCCAGAAATGTTGTTGCCAAAGACTGTACTTAATTGTTTGAAACTCGGCTATAAATTTGTTTACTAAAAATAAAACTTATAATGTTTCGGCGGTTTTATTTTCCGCTAAATTTTGCTCTGTTATTATCACAATATGTAATGCGAAAAGCCAAAAGAAAAAGGCCTGTTACTAACACAATTCCGAATGTATTTGTCAAGAGTTTTTTAGTTACAGGATTCTTACAAAGTCCGGTTCTTAGAGGACGCTCGATGTGTGCATTCCCTTGCATGAAATAGTATGGTGTGAACACACTACAAGCACAGAATAATACCCCATCAAATATTAAACTATAATAAAAAGTCAATATTTTCTTAAAGTTCGTTTCGATTTATTGAATTTATCGGACAAAACGGCGAGTTTAATTGATCAGTTGATAGGTTTGTGCATGCATAAACGTACACATGAGAAAAAAACGACAATCGATGTGCAATTTCGAAAACAAATGATTTTTCTGTTACAAAACATCCTAATACTGCTTAAACGAGGAATAACGGATGTCAACAAGTCAGAAACTAGCTGTGGCAGTAAAATTATTTACGGTAAAATAGAGCACGCAGGCCACGTAAAATACCGTGCACAAAGCTAAAAAAGTCAAAGTTTCATTCACTCCTTTGAAGTCTTTGAAGACTTGAAGGACAGCAAAATATTGTCCGCTTCCTTAGTTTGTTCTATGTATTATTGAAATCAACTTATCTGAGAAAACGGCAATTGCTAAGTTTCCGCATAAACGTACACATGCAAAAACGACAATCGATGTGCAATTTCGACAAAAAATGAACTTTCTGTTTCAAAAGATCCTAACATTTTACTGCTTAAACGACAAGAGAAAAAGGATGTCGACATGGCAGAAACTAGTTATGATCTTACAATAACAGTAAAGTTATTAACGGTTAATCGAGCACACAGGCTACTTTAAATACCGTAGACAAAGTCAAAGTTTCATTCATTCCTTTGAAAACTTGAAGGACAGCAAAATATTGGCCACTTCCTTAGTTTGTTCAGTGTTATCGCCATTATCAAATGGTATGGAACCAAGAGACAACTTTTTAGCCATGCAAAGCTGTTATTCCTCTTCCTCTGCTGTACTTGGCGACAAGCAGAAACTGGTTGAGCTAGTAAAGTTTCGCCGATCAGGGAAAGTTACACCGTAGCTTTCGAGCCGGACTCTGGTTTGCGAGCAATCAGCAGTTGAGCTGTTCGCGGCGGCGCCACCTTTTGGAAGACTTTTAAGTCCAAGGCGTTTGTCGTTCTCAGCGGACTTTTTTCTCTCAAGGAGAGATTTCACAATTTCTCGTCGAGGCGGTCCACTGCCGTTTAATGATTTCTTCACAAACGCAATGTCCTGTTGAATTTTCAGCCAATTTCTTGCACTGTTTTGGACATATTCTTCAGGGTATTCTTTGAGTAGCATGTTTTCTAGTTGTTTGTTTACAGACCCCTGCACTCTATCAAAAGCTGCTTCCCTAGACCTCAGTTCTTGTTCAAGTTTAGTTGCTGATGTTTCTAATGCTTTTATTTTGTTCTTCTGCTCTTGGAGCTTCATCTTTTCGTCAGGATATCGCGTTATTTCGCCACAGAAAAATACTGACTCGCACTTTTCCATCTGACAACTTTGAACAGTAAGATTTCGGTAATGGCAATTACTGCATCGTTGGCCGGTAAGGTTATTTTCGGAAGAAGCCTCTTTTATTCTTCGGTAACGATCTTCTAGGACTTTTCGTTTTTCAGTTGCGTCGGCAAGTTTTTCCTCCACAGCGCAACGTTTTTCTCGGATGAATCTTTATCCAGGGAACAGTAATTTTCGTCTTATCGTTGGGCGCGAGACGCTGGCTTCACGTTGTGACCACACTGTGCTTCTTGTCCAACACTTGCCTCGCCAACACTAAGGACAGTTTTTTTTCCTCGCTGGAGATTTAGAAGCTGGACTTTTCTCTGAGGATGAGGGGAACTTAGTTTGCGGTCTTTCACGTACGGGCGTTCTCAGACGGCTAACCATATTTAAGATAAGTCTTATGTCCTTCAGGGATTCCCGCTAGATCGTTTTCTGTTAGATACTTTGCGGTCGCTGTTGACGTAAAACCATTGTTTCGTAATTCACCAGCATATATTAATAAATCTTCATCCACTTCTCTTAGAAAGTCCTCAATACTTTTTCGGCTCCCCATATCAGTGAAAAGATTTTCGCTGATTTTTCTCTGATTTCTTGACCGCGCTGACAGTGAACGGTCAAGAGAACAGAGTGAACCACGAGAACACCGACTCTACCGAGGGAACTTCACATTTGGGCGGGAAAACTTCAAAGTTTGACACCTGAAACTCAGACGTTTGACGCCGTGTGAAAACATGTTTTGAGCGCGAGCGTTCACGGGTAGTTGCAATCGACGGTATTTGTCATTTTCCAATCGCTTTTTTAACCAGCGATTGCAAAGTCGGATACAAGTCCCTATATTTTGCAACCATGTGGACTGCTGTGTAGGAGCCTGGGATCCCTGAAGTTTGTGTACTGAAAAACTTTAAGTTCCTGGTGGAATACCTCACGATATACGATACGAAGTATATACCCGTTTGATAGATGAAAGTCAAGTCCCATAAATATCTACGGCGTCAGATCGGGGACAAAATCGATACTCAGATTTCGTGGCCTTGGAAACACTTCTTCGCTTCGAAAATTGTTCTTCGAGTCATTTTCTGTTGTCTTCGTGGCGTCGGTTCCATGTCTTCGAGTCGTAATAATAATAATAATAATAATAATTTAATATTTATATTGCGCAAAATACGTGTAAATATGATCAAATGCGCAATACATGAAAGTAAATTATCGACATTAATAAGTTATCCAAAATAACTAAAAATATTATATAAAAAAACAATGGACCTATAAAAATATAATATATACATAATCCTAAAAAATCCTAATAAAAAGCTAATCTAAAAAAATGGGTCTTAAGTAAACCTTTAAACCTATGAAAATTGGGCTCATTTCGTATTTGTGATGGTAACCCCTTCCCACAGTTTAGGTGCCGCAGCTAAAAAAGCACGGTCACCCAATGTCTTTTTATTTAAAGTTCTTGGCGTTTGAAGCATGATTCCCATTGCACACGATCTTAAATTGTATCTCTTTTCCTCCCTTTTGCTAATGAGTTCTTGTAGATATACCGGAGCTTGTCCATGGATCGCTTTAAAAGTAATTATAATAATCTTAAAGGTCAAATGAACCAAAAATTCGACATTTTTTTATTTTAGTTCAATTCTAGTGAAATGTGTTTAATATGAACCAAATAAACATACCATGAAGTTTCAGCTCAATTGAAGCAAGTATCTCCGAGATATTCGCTATTAAAAATTGCTNGTTTGAAGCATGATTCCCATTGCACACGATCTTAAATTGTATCTCTTTTCCTCCCTTTTGCTAATGAGTTCTTGTAGATATACCGGAGCTTGTCCATGGATCGCTTTAAAAGTAATTATAATAATCTTAAAGGTCAAATGAACCAAAAATTCGACATTTTTTTATTTTAGTTCAATTCTAGTGAAATGTGTTTAATATGAACCAAATAAACATACCATGAAGTTTCAGCTCAATTGAAGCAAGTATCTCCGAGATATTCGCTATTAAAAATTGCTGTTTTTTGGCCCTTATCTTCGTAGAGCAGTCGGAAAAATTGTCGGAAAAAACAGCTTGTGACGTCAATGTTGGTCAGGTGAAAAAAAGCGGGAAATTCGAAACAGAGTTTTTCGAGTCGACTTGGCGCAGAAGTGGTTTGTGCGGCCATAAATCTGGAAAGAACAGGCAATTTGTCTTCAAAAGTTGCAAGCTGTGGTTATAACCTTCTTATAATTTAATTTTCTCGAAGAATACATCATAGTAAAACTGACTTTTAAGACATTTACTAATTTCCTTGAGTTGTACTGGAAATGTGCGTGCGTAAGTCAAATTTTTTCCAAGATGCATTCACAAAATGTGTTCATATAAGGAAGTTCCTGGATATATAAGGTCCGGAGCTCCACCGTGGACACAAAAACGAAATATCTTTGTATAACAATCTGCCCAAAGAAATTCAAGTTTGCCCACAATGTGTTCGAAGTCTCTGAACTTTGTCGCACTCGAGCTGATATTTTAAAACCTACGCTCGATCGGACACTTCTAGCTTCGCAGATCAGTAAAATGTAAACAAAATCCTCAATGTAGAAGTTTTAGCGTTGATATGTGGGCAGAAAAAGAGTTAATCTTTATCTAGTAAATCTTCCCCAAGATCGGTTTCAAAGCAACCATAGTTTTCTAAACTTGATCGTTTCGCGCAGGTTAATTTTGCTTTGTGTTGTCAAGTTGAACATGCATAACACCTGTTAAAAAACCTAGGCGTAAGTGAGATTTCCTTCAAACAAAGTTAAAGTTACATTATTGCAAAAACTTCTTTCCAATTATGTATAAGATTTAATTACCTATTGAGGTCACTTTAAGGACCATAGACGCCACTTTAAGCTAGCAAAGAGATGCGACAAAAGCAAAGAACAATTCCATCATGCATAAAATTTAGCTTAAGTGAACTAAAAAAAGCTTCAATAAGGTTGCAAAACAACAAATTTTCATTAAAAAAAACATAAGGCTTAAGGCTCTTATACCTGATGACAAAGAAGAAGTGAATTTTCTGTACGGAAACAACCTGCCTAAAGATCTTAAAGAAAAAGATCAGTTGCAAGAGTCGCAGCCAAGCCATGATTCCGACAACTTAGCTAAATTAGCTACTTTTTTTTAGTAATAACTGGTCCATGCGAGGGTCTTCATTCAAGCAAATTAAACTCAGCAAACTGAATCATTAGAAAATACAGAAAACTGCACATAAGGATTTGTTTTGCTCGCCTCAGTCAAATCCGGCTTCAGCAATTGTTTACGGGCAAAGAGTCGATTGTTTTGGAGTCTCTGCCGGCAGTTGTCGTTCTCCGTTACTCCACAGCGAGAGAAAGGAAAATTTGCGTACAGAAAGATAACAAAACTAAGTAATTTAAAGTGAAAAAACTAAAGGAAAAAAACTCTGACTACTATTACTTGAGCAACAGAAAAATGATCGAAGTAGTCTTTTCTTCTCGAGTAAGCTTGCTGGCCTTCTAAAGTTCCGAGGATGTTTTAAGCGCTCAAGTTTGTTCACTCGCAAGCGTTAGCATCACGGTTCTTTGACATAAGACAAGGATAAAGCTGGCTCTGCAAAGGTAAATAAATCTGGGCATTTAAAAAGACTAACTGTAACTACTAATAACAGAATACAAGCGGGTTTTAATTCAGTCCGGCGAAAGAAGGCAAAGCACTGGACAAAAAATCAATTCACAAATCGAATGCACAATTATCAGAAAAATACAAACCTATCTGGAAATGTTCAAAACGTTTTATTCCTCCTCAGACTGACGGATGATCTGTTTTTACTGTAACATTGGTTGTTCTGAATCCAAAGTAATTTTCAAGGGACGAAAAAACAACAACAACGACAAAAACAAACAAAAAAAAGTCTTTACAAGGAGCAAACGTTCGCACCTCGTGTATTTCATTCAGTCTCAGTCAGAACTCTCACAGCACTAGACAAACAAACGCAGGCGATAAGGGATGCGCAAAAGCTTGCGCAGAACGTTTTTCCGCCCTGAAGGACCAACATTGACGTCACGTAGTCTCCAGTCTAACACGCGGCCATTTCAGAAACGTTTTCGTGAAGTTTTCGGAAATCCTCGGATTTTGATCTTTTATCTTTCTATAAAGGCTTGAGAAGATAAATGTTTACCCAAATCTTACTTAGGATGGTTCTTTTAAGTGTTTGGTGAAGGTAAAGCGACAAAAGAAAATATGTCAATTTTTTGGTTCATTTGACCTTTAAAATGAATCCGCATCCCTCGTTTCATCGTATTGTTTTCTTCGGGACACCGCTGGCCTTTCTTCCTTTCGTCGCTATGGGCTTATGTCGTCGTTGCATCATTTTTATGTCTTTGTGTCGTCGGGTCTTCCTTTCGTCGACTGAGCTACATACTTGGGCAGGTACTTGATACTTGATGTATTGGAACATATATTGTACTCTGTTACCTTGTTAGTCTGTTATCTTGTTACCTTGTTACTCTGTAACCTTGTTACCTTGTTACCCTGTTACTCTGTTACCTTGATACCCTGTTACTCTGTTACCCTGTTACCTTGTTACTCTCTTACCTTGTTACTCTGTTACCCTGTTACCCTGTTACTCTGTTACCTTGTTAACTTGTTACTCTGTTACCTTGTAACATTGTTACTCTTTTACCTTGTTACCCTGTACCTTGTTACTCCGTTACCTTGTTACTATTTTACCTTGTTACTCTGTAACCTTGTTACCTTGTTACCCTGTTACTCTGTTACCTTGATACCCTGTTACTCTGTTACCCTATTACCTTGTTACTCTCTTACCTTGTTACTCTGTTACCCTGTTACCCTGTTACTCTGTTACCTTGTTAACTTGTTACTCTGTTACCTTGTAACATTGTTACTCTTTTACCTTGTTACCCTGTACCTTGTTACTCCGTTACCTTGTAACTATGTTACCTTGTTACTCTGTAACCTTGTTACTCTGTTACCTTGTTACTCTGTTACCTTGTTACCCTGTTACTCTGTTACCCTGTTACCTTGTTACTCTGTTACCTTGTTACTCTGTTATCTTGTTACTCTGTATTATTCTGTTCCCTTGTTCCCTTGTTACTCTGTTTCCTTGTTTCCCTGGGATAGGGCAAATATACTCTAGCTAAATGATGTTGAAATTTTAAAGAATTATTTTCATTTATAATACATTTATTTTTATAAGCCAGGTCGAGTTAGGCTTTGATATAAAGATAATTCGTTGAACTATAATTCATTCCCAGCCGAAAAGGTGTTGAAAATTCGATCTTTTAGAAGCTGCAGTTATACTAATATGAAAGCACCGTTTTCACTCTTGGCCCTGTTTACAAGGAAGGAGGGTAACCCTGGTGCTGTGGAGCGGTATTCGGGGTCAAACATAACTCGATGCCTATTTTCTATGTCGTCTTGTCGGCTTGTTCTGTCGTTTTGCCGATTTGTCATGTCATCTTGTCTACTTGTTGTGTCGTCGAGATCAGGTAAAGCCGAGGGTTGGCAGTTAAGTCTGACGTCAAGCTTGTACAACTGACCTCTCGAAGTCACAAAAAATTTTGAACACTTAAGTGGTAGATGGAGGAAACCGGCTTGTAGTGATCTAGTATTCAATGCAAAACTGAACTGAGTATACTAGTAACTCAATTTCCTCGTGTTGTGCGATTTTCAACGATTGTGTCGATAACAGATAAGGTATGATTGAAAAACGAATGTAATTAAACTTCAGCCTTGTGTGGTATTGACTGAAAGCGCTTAAACGCTACACCTGTTGTAGGACCCTGCCGCGTTGTTAAGTCATTTTACAAGGACGCCCTAAGACTCGGTGTTTTATGCAAAATATCTGATCGTAAAAATATTGCCCAGAAATTTCGCTTAGATTTAAAAGTTGTGACGGAGAGAGAGATATCGGAAAATATTCCGTTTTCGCAAAGTTCTGAATGTCATTTACGATTTTTTAGAAAGTCATGATAAAAGTATGAAAGCCAAAAGAAACTATAACAGGCTTAAGCTGCCATAGGATTGAGACAGAGAGCCTTCGTCATGGTCCAAGCGCTAGGCATAAATAGATTGAGCAACTTTTAGCGTTTTCGGCAACTTTTTTGAACTGCGAGCAACCTAGAGCAACTTTTGCCTTCCTTGGCAGCTTTTGAGTCAACAAATAGTTTTAAAAACTGACCAAACCATCTAAAAGGTCTTTATTAAAAGGTTTTTATTACAACTGGCCAAAATGAAGGATGTCATAGGTTCTTACAAATAATTTATAAAATAACAGGTGCGCCCACGAACTGGACAGCAGCTATCTATCTAACAGGCGCTTACATCCAGCGGTTATTCGCTCCAACAATAGAGCTGCCCGCCCGCCATCTTGGTATTTGCTGCAGTGCGAGGGATCCGACAATTACAAGCTGAAATGTCTGACGAGGAAAATGAAAATAATACAGGTATTGACCCGACTGAGGCTACCTTAGCGGCTGGGGCAACTCTTAGTAGTCCTTTAAGAGCTTCAATTTCTAGAAGTTTAACGATCAACAAGACAATGGCCTAGAGGACTACCTTGAGGCTTCAGTTATGATAAGATACAACAATGCAAAGAGGCTGGAAACTTTAAAGTTGTAAACTTGATCACTGTCTAAAGTGTATAGTCAGCACAACGATGTCTATAGCAAACATGACGTTTACTCATTAGAAACGTCATTAGAAAATACTTTCTATTATTAGTTACGTTCAGCTTAAAGATTATATTGATCACAACAAATGATGTTAAATTACACATACAACGTCATGTTTTGAGTAGTAATCTGGAACAAAATGACTCTCAAAAGTAAGCAACTTTTCTAAATTTGGGTGACAACTTTTAAATTTTTTAGCAACTTTAGAGCAACTTTTGGGTGTATTGTCAAGCAACTTCTGTTGGATTTACTAGCACAATCTATTCATGCTACCAAGCGCTGTTCTCAAAAAAAGGGAACCTTTTGTTTGATTTCCGTCAACAAGAACCCATAAGAGGAAAAATTTACCGACGAAAGCTGATTGCTAACAATTACTCTGAACGAAAACCGATTTGTAATGTAAACCATTAAACCACGACCTTACTCCCCCCCCAAAAAAACCGCGTCTATACGGGGAAAAAATTGTGATTTGTCATGCAAAAGTAAACTAAAATTAAAAAAATGACAAAAGAGTAACAAGAGAACAAGGGAGGAGGGTAACAAAGGGACAGAGTAACAAGGGGACAGAGCAATAAGGTAACAGAGTAACAAGGTAACAAGATAACAGAGCAATAAGGTAACAATTAAGGTAACAGGGTGACAGAGTAACAAGGTACCAAGCAAAAAAGGGAAGGTTTATATTTATGCAAGGACTGAGTCGGTACAATGTATGTCCCCATACATCAAGTACCTACCCAAGTACGTAGCGCAGTCGACGAAAGGAAGACCCGACGATACGAAGACATAAAAATGACGCAACGACGACATAAGCCCATAGCGACGAAACGAAGAAAAGCCAACGGTGCCCCGAAGAAAACAGTACGATGAAACGAGGCTACGCTGCTGAGCTTCTGTACCTTGGCTGCGGTGCTTCTGTTGTCTGTTACTGAGCTTCTTGTTAAAAGCTTCGCTTCTTCACAAAGGTTCCGGTGCTTTAGGCTCATAGCTAAAACAGGGGCTAGACTCTCCAAAAATATCTGTCCACTCATGCGCACTACAGTGGATTTGCAATTTATTAGTAAACGAAAGTCAATTCGCATACATGTGGGAGTGGAAGTTTTGTTCCCTCATGTGAATATTTTCAAGGATACGCATGCGCATTACAATAGAAAGATATATAAGAGCCCTGTAGCCTAGGTAAAAGAGAGTTGCTGGCATGTGAGAGTGGAATTATTTTACAGAAGCGCACTCAAAGAATAGTAAGCAAATCTAGGTACGATGCCCATACTGACCCGATCTTTAAGGAGCAAAAGCTCTTGAAATGTCAATAAATCCACTTGTTTCAATTTGGCCTTTTTATGTTTTCATTTAAGAATTCTACATTCCCTTCAAAATTCAATACTTTTTTAAATGAACAACCAAATACATAATTATAATACTAGGAGGGCTCAATCTTCTCGTTTACCGCTATGCAGAACCAATACAAGGCAGTTTTCCGTTTACTTTCAAGGTCCAAAGTTTTACAACTCTCTGAATGCTAAGATAACTAAATCTTCCTCCTTCGCCTCTTTTAACAAAGGCTTAAAAAATTTCTTCTCAAGAGGCGTTAACTTAATTTTGTTTTCAAGATTGGATAGAACGCATGCGCATTTCAAAATCTTGTTCAGTCACGCACAAAAGACGTTTTTCTACAAAGTCGCGAACTTGTGGGGGAAGATTGGATAGTACTCATGTGCATTTTAACATCTTGTCAAAACAAGTACCCAAAAAAGTTTTTCTGCAAAGTCGCTTAACCTTTGTGATGATTCATAGCGTTGAGATTGCTTATTTATTTATTTTCAAACTTTTGACGCTAGAACGCGAGCAAATCAGGCAAATATTACTGGGCTTGGAACAATTTACCTCCGACACGAGTTTCACTTTAGAAAAGCTGTCCTTAAAGCGAGCGGAACGAGAATTTCGGGTAGCGAGGCGGCCCTGCTAGCGATAAAATCGCGATGAGTCTTCGTGCCGCTAGCCAAATTTACATACGAAAGACTTCTTCGAAAGTCTAAAATGTTACTTGAGAATGTAAACAACAAATCACCGTCGGCGGTGCGGTCCGGAAGGAAATCTTGTCGGGTCAATATGACAGTTCTATTGTCTTTTGAAGGAAAAATAGATGACGCTTGCGCGTACACATAATCGGGACACTGTCCCTTTAAGGCACCGACACTGATATAATTTATTGCTTTGGTCGAGTGGAAATAGCACGCGCTTGGCGAAAACTTCCCTAACATGCACGCACTGTATATTTGTGCAACTTTTCGGACAGAGTTAAACGAAACAAATCGATCTATAAAAGTAGATTCTTTGTCGGCGATGAATACACTAAAACGAATAAGTAAAAAACGAAAGACTGCAAAATTCGCACCTCCTTTTAAAAAGTAATTAAAAGTATATAAATGGACGCTTTGCTTTTAGCCTTGGCTAAATTCATATATTAATCTTTCCATTGTAGTGCGCATCCATGCTCTTGTAAATGGTGGCATGAGTGGACAGAAATTGAACTCCCACATCTAATCAACTCTCTTTTACCTAAACTAAATACAGGGTACGTCACAGTTACGTATTGTTCTATTGTAAAGAGGGATGTGTCGCTTCGCATCCTTGCATCGCGTACGAATGAACAGGAAAACTTTTGGGCTTTAGAAAGTATTTTGTGTACGGTACGCAATAGGACAGTTGTTAGTTTCCCCCCTTAATTTTGTACCTAGTACTCAGATTTTGTTACACTCTTTTTTTATATAAGAATATATTTTATAAGAATATCGAGGCTGAAATTTGCGAAATTTTAAGAATATTTTAAGAATAAAGCCGAGGCTGAGATTTTGAAAAGGATAGATATATTTTTGTGTGTTTTTGTGTGTTAGTTCTCTTGTACTCGATTTGTAAATAGTGCTTAGATTTTGTAGTCTTGTAAAGGGTGATTGACTTGACAATAAATGGCCCAGCTTCCTGGCTTTTATATTCTTAAAAAAAATGTTCGCATGAGGGAGACGACTTACCTCCCGTCTACTTATACAAGGGCAAGTGGGTATCTATTTAACTCGTCATGTCCGCATGCGTACCATTCAACTTACATTGGACGATTCGCAACGACGACTTTTAACGCAACAAAGCATAACAACGTTGTTGCGACATTGTTTCAAATAGCTGCAACATTGCCCCAACATTATTTACAACACTGTATTGCACTAAATATTGTCGTTACAAATCGTCTCGTGTAACATCACCTTAAGGTGGCTTCAAGAGGTCTAGGGTTGATTAATTATCGTCTCATCTACATGAAATAATGAATTTTAGACAGTTTTTACACTCCCATAGCAAATGACCATTGCCGACCATTTCCGATCATTTCCGACCACTGCCTGAACATGTCCGAAATATTTCCCCCACCGTTTTCCGCTCATTTCCCGATCATGTCTCGAACAAAATCGGTCTAAGCAAACTCGTTCGGGAAAACTCGGAACCAGGATCGCGTGGAAAAGTGACCTGAACGACTTCATACCACTATTCAGGCAAAACCTTAAAAATGTACATTAAATATTTGACCGATCTAATTCAAGTCAAATAAAAACTCAAATAAATCTGTTCCATTCCAGTGCAGTGCAGTCCACTCCAACTGATTTTCCACTTAGCCTTTCAGAGATAATTTAACACTGGTTGGGGGACTTTACTTGATACCGAAGTAAGGAGTTATGAATACCCCCTAATATGAGTGTTAGTTAAAGATGAACCCAGAGACGAGGATTGTGCATATGTGTTTTTTAACGTCTCATGGGACGTTATTATGAGCAATGGTCGTGAGATGGGGCCTACGCTTTATCGTCCTCATCTGAGAAGTCTAGAAAGCATACTGACCGTTTGCAGATTTCCTCACAAAGGCGGCACTTTCTCCTCAGTTTTGGTATGTTAGCAATGTGCAGAGTGTCAACACTGAATCAGCCAAACTAGGGAAGGCATTTTGTGCTATTGTTTGATCTTTGTTTCGTCATGCTTTTTAAAGAGACTCACAGCTTTGGGACCGCGTTGACCTGGACACTAGTTTGGCCACTTTGAAAATCAAAGTACGCGTTCAATACATCTAGAGATCTCCTTTATCTTGCCCAGTGTTTCATTCGATCTTCAATCCTTTACTGAAAACCTGTTCCTGAGTATTTTAAAGTATGGATCGCGTATTTTGAGATATGCAAATCAGCTAAGAAATGGTATCTAATGCGCATGTGCATCAGCTGAATGTGTCCCTTTTAGTACTACTGTTCTTTTTTCACTTGAAAGGAATACCCTTTGACAAGTCAGCATATACAAAACGAGTGGGACAGTTTCCTACCCAAGAAAGATAGGCCTTTTGCGTGAAAACAGACATTGATTACTTAGCCTGTTCCAGTCTCCATGATAGTAGGGAAAGCACATATAGAAAAGTTGCGCGAAAACCGCCGGGTGGGGGGAGGGGCTGGGGCTGGTGAGAGACGGGTAAGTGATTACTTGACTTACCATTTGTCAATCCGGACAGCGCTTCTTGTTTTACGTCGTTGGCGTTTACCTTCATTTTTGACAGCTCTGATGTTGCAATTGTCACGTCCGATTCGACATTTTGCAATTTTCTCTCAAACTCTTCCACTTTCTTCTGCACAAATGTTACTTCTGTTTTTACGTCTGACCTGACTTCTTCCACTTTCTTCTGCACATGAGTTTTCATTTGAGATTGGATTTGGTTGAGGTGATCGCTCATTTGCTTAAACTTGATGTCCACGTCCTTTTCTCTCTTCAACTCTTCTTTCAGCTTTTGAAGCCTAGCAGTAGGAAAGTCTTCTTCTTCAAGCTTTCCGATCTCATCAATCCTCGTTGTGTCCTGTCCTAGTGCAGCAAATGCATCTTTTCCCAGCTGTATATAATGATCAAAAGTTGTCCTGTCAATCTTTTGGGTGCTTGTCTGGTGGCAGAGTGTGTTGCGTAGCAGACGAAGCTGATCCAGTGCTAACGCAAACGTCTCGGCCTGGTTTCCACAAGGGCTTGAAATGACAGGGTGAAATGTTCCACTTGGTAAACGACGAGGCTTCACGTACACTTTGTCTAAAGTAGAAAACCAGCCACTTCCGTCCGGCACGGCAAAGCTCTGAGCATAGAGAGTGGCTTCAAACAGCGCTGTGCAGTCCCACTCATGATATGATTTACTGGTTGGAATATATTTTGTCTTTCCACCCTCTTTACTTAGAAACATGTTGCGAACTAGAGGTGAGTCGTCCCATTTATAAAAGCCTGGTGTAGGAGCGACTTGATTGTCCCACATGTGAACAAAAGCGTGGCGGAGAGCAATTGGAAATTCGTCAATCACCACAGATGAGAACTTAAAAAAGTTTAGTTGCTCTTGAGAAAATGTCACGGTAGCCATTACGATGACAAGGATATTTAAACAGTATGATATTTTAGACGTCAGCTATCAACCAATTGTGGTTTTGAACAACCATTCATATATAAACAGTATCTGCAAAGATGAAAACAAACGTCATTAAACGCTTACGACGAAATTTTAGTTTATTTAAGTATCTATCAAACTGATTTATATTTTTGAGTATAAAATTAGAGTTTCCGTAATACCAATTTAAATTCTATTCTAGAAAAAAGTGAAACCATATATACTTCTAACGACTGTCACTATCAAGGATATTTAAAGATTGTTACGCTTGGTATATAGGCCCTCTCCTCCGCAGAGGCCTCTTAGAGGGGAGCTTGAGCTACAGCGTTTTTGAGCGACGGACGTCAACTGGAAGTGGACTTTTTGCATCATTGGGTAGTGGCTTGGTTCAAACTCACGGGTAAATCGTCTTTATAAGAGAAAAGAAACTTAGCAATACTAATTTGTTAGCGTCAAGGCATATAAAAAGGGAGAAGGCCTCACTTCCGATTGACGTGCGTCGCGTTAGCAACAGCGTTCTTGAGCGACGGACGTCAACCGGAAGTGGACATTTTGAATCATTAAGCAGTGGTTTGGTTCAAACTCTCGGGTAAATCGTCCTTATAGGAGAAAAGAAACTTAGCAATACAAATTTGTTAGCGTCGAGGCATATAAAAAGGGAGAAGACCTCACTTCCGGTTGACGTGCGTCGCTCAAAAACGTTCCCTTTTGTGTTGTAGGGAGACTGAGGAGAAAATAAAAGGACGCGCAGGGTACTTAAGATGGGAGGGGGGATTATTGCTATTAATGCTGTTTTTATTGTGATACCCAGCGGGAGCCCCCGTGGAGGTGAGAGGTATATAGGTGCGCGGATAGCCTGCGAGAAAGCTCTCCTATTTGGGCGAGCGAAGCAAGCATCGCGAGAACGCGCGAGCGAGGGGCTTCTTTCCTCTGCCCCTCGAGGCTTCGCCGCTCGCTCGTGCGTTCACGCGAGACTCGCTTCGCTTGCCCAAATAGGAGAGCTTGCTTGCAGGCTAGTGTGCGGAGAACCGTGTATTGATCACTTTAGGTTGAGTATCAGGCCTTGTTGAGGGGTTACGGGAGGGGAGATTTTAGTGTATTGCTGGTTTTCAGTGTCACGCCATTCAAAATAGATCAAAATGAAAATCAAAACCATTCGATAGATAAAGTGTAGAATCTAGGAAATGAAAGGAGGTAAATGTACAAAGGCCCTCGCCAGCATTTAGGTCGAAGGAATAATTCGTGTACGAGATGTCCGAAAAAATGATTTACCCAAATTTATAGCGATTTGTACGGAGACGCCATGCTGGTTCTCATCCGGACGGAAACCAGCAGAAACATCTGTTACCGAGTTTTACTACAAAAGCGTAAATTTACTCCTAGAGGAACTCATAAACATTAAAGTAATACTTTTTCTAATACATGAACTGTTTAGATAGAAAAATTCCCCGAACAAAGTCACTTTTTTAACCTACAGGACAGCTCTCTCGGCCGTCATGTAGATGCTACTCTATTACAAAACCAAGAGCCCTTTTGAAGCGAAAATTTGTTTGAAAATTAGTTTTCAGCTGCTTTAATACACCCTTAAAGTAAAATCTCGGTAGGATCGATAGTTTTGTAGTTTGAATTTTAGTGACGTCATGTGAAAACCAATAGCTGACATTCTGTACCACCATTAGTTTCCCTGCGAAATGACGTCTGAGAAACGAACGCGTGTTACCCAAATCTGGGTAGCACTTCAATAGCCCACATTCGATATATTAAAATAAACTGATGAAATGAGAAGTCCTTCAAGATTTACAATAAATGTAAAGAGCTTGGGCAATTAAGAACGATAAGACTGATCAAGATTAAAGGAATAGTGTCCCGTTACTGCGCATGCACCAAACTTTGATATTTGGACTCAAAAGGTGCGAGGAGAGTGAGAGACAGTGAAGAGAACCTTGAAAAATCCGTTTGCATCGCGCTTGGCCGAGTTCAATACGACACTAAAACTTCTCAGGATTACAGATCAATGATATATTGTTCCCGTTAAGTTTCGATTTGGGCGAAATCGGGATTTTTTGGCGTTAGTTTTATTGCCGTTGGTCGGAGGACCAAAAGGTGGGAAGCACTTTGATGACGATTGAAGGCTTATTTCTTCTGCTAGCTTCCATACAAGCTCAGATAATTGTGAAAGGAATACGCAGAAATGAAACTGCAACAATAGGGACTGTAAGAAAGAAACCATTGAGACATTGATGTGGCTGAGGAGATCTTGTGCAATTTAGCTTCGTGAAGCTGAATTTTTTGTAACGACGCGTTAGTAAACTTTTAAATGAACCTCCCTACGGCCGACAAAATCAAACAAAGAGGCGCTACATGTTTAGTTAAACTAGCGCCTTGAAATCATGGCTAACCTTTGCGATGATTCATAGCGTTAAGATTGCATTTTTTTGTTATTTCTCTCAAACGTTTGAGGCTAGAATGCGAGCATATCAGGTAAGTATTACTGGACCGGGAACAATGACCTCTGACACGAGTTTAACATTAGAAAAGCTGTCCTTAAAGCGAGCGGAACGAGGTTTTCGGGTGGCGAGGTGGCCCTGCTGGCGATAAAATCGCGATGAGTCTTCGTGCCGCGAGCCAAATTTTTAAATACGAAAGACTTCTTCGAAAGTCTAAAATATTACTTGAGAATGTAAACAACAAATCACCGTCGGCGTTGCGGTCCGGAAGGAAATCTTGTCGAGTCAATATGACAGTTCTATTGTCTTTTGAAGAAAAAACAGATGACGCTTGCGCGTGCGCATAATCGGGACACTGTCCCTTTAACTGGTATGCTAGTGCACCACAGCACTTTCCTGACATCCGGTTGAAACAGTGGGGCTTCTCTTTGCTCATCTGGTGATAACTGGACAGCTTCAGGTAGATAATTATTGACCAGGTCAGTCTTTATTTTGCCTGGAGACACAACTGAATGCTCGCCTGGTTGATCTATCCGCATTTGCCGGTAGAACATATTATATAGAGGTGTCCCGAATTCGCGACAGAGAGAAAAGAGAGAGAGAGAAAGAAAAAATCCCGTATCCTGTGCCTAGATATTTGTGAATGCCTGCAGTCAAATCCCGTTTCCAGTTAAAACATTTTGCGTTTTCCCGAATCCCGAAAATACCCTTCCAGACTCTGTATTAAATCTGATAATACACGACTGCGAAGTTTTTTGAGCTGCTTCAAAATCTCTGATATAGATCAACTCATTCTTGCACTGCTATTTAGATTTGGGGTAATTTGGTGTAAAAAATTGGACGTAAAGTTTAGCCGTGTCTTTTTCAGATATAAAGACACTCATTAAACATTTCTTTACGACGTTTTGAAAAGAATTTAATGTTTCAAGTCCACGTTTTAAACCCAGTTTGCAGTCCACGTCCTTGTTTTGAACGGACTGTAAATTCATTTTGATAGCTAGAACGTTCTCTGTAACCCTGTAATCTGGAAACTGCTAACTTAAGTAGTGTGAATCTTTTTTTTTCAGTATGGTTCCCGAGCCGATTTATGACCATTTTGTGTTTTCAGTTGGAAACAGTTTGTTTGTTCCACCGCTCCCAAGGTTGGGTGCTCCGGCCAAGCAGCCGAAAGAAACGCTGAAGGAAAACAGCTGATCGCGTAGATCACAGACGATATTTTTGCTTTAATCGTTCATTCGAGGGAAGAATTCTAAAGAGAAAAAACCGGTTCCATATAAAACCCATACAATGGCCATGAACTTACCCTGGCTCCAGAGGTCCGTTCTCAAAATACCCAATATGAAATAAACCGTGCTTACGAATTGATAAGGCTCTTAGCTTCGCGCCTCGTTGACACGGCTTCGCAGCGAATCATCAGTATCGATAAGAAAAAAATATCCTCCGGAAGCCAGGGTACCATAAACTTCGCAGCGGCGGGAACCACACAGGAAAAAAGAAACACACAACTCAAGTCAGGTTAGCCGATTTTTACTTGAATTCTTTCTCATTCGTTAGTTCATAAACAATCTTTTTTTCCTCCATACAAGTTCTCATATTTCGAACGTAACGCAACAGTGCCGGTGGTTAAATTTCGAGCTTCGGCAACTGAGGTGAAGCCCGTTGAAAAAGGTACCTGTTCATTGGGATTATCGCCCGGGCATTTCCGCTCAAAACAGTCTCTTTTTTTAACGCAAATTGTAGCCGCCGCAATGTCCATCTGAATAGGCGAATCTTTGCTGACGTCATTGTTTACATTTTTCCTCTTAGCCCATAGAAGCTGTGACTGGATACTATATAAAAATTTAATTCAAAGGTTGAAGAGAGCTGAATAACTTGGGTAATTTGTTGGGTGGCAAAAGAGTTCATGAGCCATTCATCCTTTGTATAATTTAGAGTCTGTAAGAGAGAATTTTTCCGACTAGAACTGTTATATCGATATCGGGCTCAAATTTTGAGAGATTACTAAAATATTGCTTTTGGTCTCCTACGGAACGTTTCGAGAGCGTTGGGTGACGACACAAAGAACAAAGGAAACTATAATATTGCTGTGCTGTCACAATATTCAGAAAATGTATTTTAATAGCTCACTTTCAAAAATGATTTTTGTTATTCAAATGAATGACTAGTTTCCAAACCAATGCGCTTCTGGTTGCCACATCAAGGGAACACGGTCAGCTTTTTGATATATGGTATCCAATGCGCAGGTGCAACGGTTGATTGCGCCCTTTTAACTTTAATCAAACGGTGACGTCAGGGTTAGTGTCGCTATAGCTAGCTATAGCCTAGAAACAAATGTCTTTACCCGATAATGAATTTTCTCTAATTATTTAGCATTCTTAGACTTTTTTAGCCGAGCGGAGAGTCTAGCCGAGAGGATTTCAGTTTTTTCTAAGACAGCAAATGTTGTGACAACACATTTTATTTGAACTG